ACTACCAGAGGAAGCTGGAGACGGAGGATCGTCAGGTCTACGAGGGCCGCTACTTGGGCGTCGTGCAGGTCTACAAGGCGAGACCGACCTCCGCGTCGACGGAAGGATGACAGCTGATTCCCGTGCGGTTCTTTTTGTTTCCTCGGTGGAGCTCCGGTTTTTGGACATGCTTCCTCCAGAGGAGACCCCTGAACGACCCTGACTGTGACTTTTCCCCCAGTTGTCCTGTTCGAAAACGGCTCAAGTGCCATCTTCAGGCTCCCCCACCGATTGACCGTTGTTGTAACGATCCCCGTTTCATCTTGCCAACTCCGCGTTCAGGAGCAACAGGCCTTTGGCTACTTGTGTCCCAAGGAGCCCCAGAATTTGCCCCTAGAGGTGCAGCGCGCGGTGCGCGAGAACAAGGGCCGGGCCTTGTACTTCCGCGGCGCCGATTTAACCGATGGCACCCAGTGCCTTCGCAGAGGCTCCAAGGTGGAGTTTCAAGTGTACAGAGACAACCACAGTGCAGGGGCCTGCAACATTAGCATGGCCCTCTCCAGGTGGCCGTGAAAAAGAGAAGCGCTATCGGATGGTGGCTTTGAGTACTCAATTTTTTCCACCTCAAAGAGCAGATTCCTTGGGCCCATGTGGATCAAAATTCGAGCCGACCAGTAGGCTGGTCTTGACTGCCCTTTCGATCCTCACCCGTTTTCACTGCTCGCTAAGCTGCTGCATCGTGAACAGCGATTTGCCAGACCCGAGCAAACCATCATACTCAGGTCGGAAACAAACCAAAGCCTGGTGATATAGAGTCGTATAGAATCTCCATGAAACATCGAAACATCCAGAAACATCCTGAAATGCTTCCAGACTCAGCCTGAAGGCGACTTCACCTTCGTTCCTCCGCGGCGAGTTCAGTTCACCCTCTTGCAAACGGCTTGCACCGATCCTCCGGCGAACTCCGGGTCCGACCTGCCCGATCCGCGCGCGAGGCCGACGACCTGCCGGAGCTGGATCCGCAGGACCTGAAGCGGAGCATGGACGAGGAGGGCGGAGCAAGGGAGGCGGCGGCGGTTTGGGGGGGTCGTTGCGGTCTACCAACCGGGGGTTGATTTTGGGCGGGGTTTAAATCGGATCATGTGGGCGGACAGACATCTGGATGGATGTCTGTTTTGGGTTTGGTGGTTGGTGTGGACGAAGGACGAAGGCCTGTGGATTCCAGGTCCTCCTGGACCAGTGATTCGGGCCCAAAGAACTCCAAGTGGAATGCAGAGCCCATCTTCAGACATGTCACCCAAGCCTGGAGAGAGGCCTGTTGTTTTTCGTAGAAGCCAAATGGAGAAAGCACTCATTCTTGGTTCCGAACCAGTGAAAGAGATAACCCCACTTGGACATGTTCTCCTCGCTGAGCTCCTCCTGCTTGGAGGTGACTTGTACCCAGTTCGACCGATGTCTCTTCCTTGGATTCGTTGTTGTTCTCGTTCTCAAGACTCTGGGAGCACACCTTGTTCCGCTTGGTCCACAGGTGGCCTTTCTTCTCAACACTCGAAACCACCCGCGACCCCGCTGGACCGCACCAATTCCTTGTTCATCGATGGGACGAGCTCTCCGAGCTCGGTAGGATCTGCCTCTCCTGGTCTTTGGTCCCCTGGGTGCCTTCTTGGCCACGCTGGCCATGCGCGGACGCGTCTTCGTGGCCATGGTCGCGGGCGCCTCTTGGCTCGGGTGGTGTGGCGGACGGAGGGGGTGATGGGGTGACTCAGTGAGGCGCACGGTGAAAGGAATGGATTGTGGATCGATTCTTCTTGAGGGGTTTCGTTTAAGACGGCAGGAGCGGCAGGAGCTTGATGTTTGGGTTGGATTTCTCATACTCTTCCCAAGCCGATGAGTCCAGGTTTCCATCAATGTCCAGTACTTTTCTGACATGTTCGGATTCATAGGGCTGCAATGCAGAGATTTTTGAAGCTTCCTGGAACTCCAAGTCTTTTGCTGAAATTTCAGGCACCAGTCAGACCACATTCACTTTCCCATTCTACCCACTTCCCAAAATCGATCGAGCAAATTCCCCTTTGGATCCCTTTGGCATGTGTTGGCTCTCACCCCACCACGTCCGGGTTTTCCCCGTCGCCCCCGTCCGCCGCTGGTCCGTCTGAGGTCCTGGCGCTCAGCGTGCCGTTGGTCACGAGCGTCGGCTTCCTGGCGCAGAGCACCGAGGAGAACCTCACCGAGGCGGGAGGCGCGAAGGAGGGCAACATCCATGAGGCGAAGCACCTGGCATGGAACATTATGGAACCTGAAAATGGACCTTAGAAGACTAGCTTCCTGAAGAAAAACAACACAGAGGGTTTTTTCAGGTTCCATGTGGACGTAGTTGAAGTTCTAAGCATGAGATTTGTCTCACTTGGCGCCGTGAGGTTCCCGGCTTCTGGACGGCTGATGGCTGGTCGAAATCCTTCGCGAAATCGGGGCCGATGACTTCATCGGTTCGCACTTTCAAAGCTTAGTCTTCCCAGGTGAGGATCATTGCAGCTGCTGCATGGTTTGTGATTTCTGCAGGAGAGGGCTGTGGGCCGCTGGTAGGATCAGTTTGAAGAAGAATTCTAGTAGGACATGGGGCGGGTGCGGTCTGGTGTTTACGTTGAGATATTGATCTGAGATTCTGTTGTTCAGAAAATTCTGCTCTGCAGGAATGGCCGATCTCTGTTCGGCCTGCACACATGCCTTGGAGGCGGGTGGGGTAGACGACGTGGAACCTGGAGAACGTCGAGCCTTTTTGGGAGGGACTTTTGCGGCAACTTTTGTTTCTTGGCTTTGCTCCGAAACCACCCAGCTGAAGGACTTGAGGAGAAGTCTATATAATGACAATGATGTTGGACATGTTGGAAGAGTTCCAGATACTTGATTGCACTCATGGGAAGTGAGTGTAGTGAGTCTACTGGATGCCAAGGGGCAGCTCTCCAGTCGATGCCAGGAGCGGAAAGAGAGCCTGAGGCCGCAAGTTCCGGAATGGTTGATGGTCCGCGCAGGCCTGAGACGATCATGGGTAGCACACCAGAGTTCGTATTGAAAAAGCAAAGACCCCCCAGGAAGCGACCCCCCTTGGAAGAAGGATATATAGACCCAAACCCCTTTTTGTTGGAGGGTCCACTATTGACCCACAAACCCACCTCTATTTGGAAAAGAAGCCCTTATATAAACGATTTTGAGACTGTTTGGTCTCCCAGAAGCTCTGATTCATGACCTTCCGGAGCAGCAAGTTCACTGAACAAAAAGCAAAGCACTGAAAGCAAAGCAGGCCACAAAAGAACCAGGTGGTCATGTGATGTCATGTGGCGTTCCCTCTCTTGGGCCAGGTGATTCCCTCGGACTGGCCCGTCTGTCCTCGCGCTTCTTCCCCGCGTGGACCGTCCACGCGGGTCTTGACCCACGTGGCGTCGAGATGCCGAGGCATGCTGATCACGCCCAGAGCCTGGCTTTTGGAGGAGCCACGGAAGACGTTCCGCGACTTTTCTGGCGCAGAAAGGAAGAAGAGCTGGTGCAGGGGAAGCAAGGGAAAGAATTCCTTGCGACTTTTGGAGGGGTACTACTTGGAGTTCTTGAGTTCATCTCTCCTGTTCTGGAACCTCTCTGACCCTCGTTCTGGCTGTCTTTCGTGGCTCAGGGGCGATGTCCACTGAGCCACGAATTCCGCAAAAGACCAATGCACCTCCAAAACGAAATAAACACTCATAATAAGCCTTATGCAACTATATACTATTATCTCCTTTTTCTCCAAGGCTTGGTATTTGTTACCATACAGCTTATCTCCAGCGCTCGACTATATCGACTATATATATATATATATTTACACCTAGTTGGCAACGGTCCCGTTCGTTTCCTTCGAAATGTCCCAAAATTGAATGAGGAAGGCTCGCAGTAGGTTCGAAACCTCGAGAGCATTCTCGCTTTCGCTTGTCCTCTTGCAGGAGGCCTCTGGTCATCGAGCGTTGGCGCTGAGGATGGGCTTTCCAACCGAAAGACCAGTAGTAAACAAAAGCACAGATGAATTTGATGTTGGTTTCCTTTTCAGACTCTGTTGCAAGCAACGTAGCTAACATTTGTTTGTTAACAGGATTCTTTTCCAGGAATGCTTCCAAACAGTTTGGCTTGGCCATCCTTTTGTATGTTTGTATGCCTCCAACAGTTTCGAGCAATCCAACCGTTTTCAACAATTTTCTTGTTTGACCGGTCGTTCTTTGACCAGCAAAACGGGATGCTGCTTGTGTGCCAGGATGCTCCGGGTGGTGTGCGAGGCGCTCCTGCCCACGCTGGCCCTGGGCCACTTGGCACAACGAGTGGGGCGCGGAAGCGATGGTTGGGTGTGAGTGGGGCTCTGGCTGGGTGGCTGGCTGGCTGGCTGGCTGAACCTGCTAGGTGGTTAGTGTTCTGCTGCTGCTGCTGCAATGGTTACAGCAGCATTTGGTATCAGGGGCTGTGAAAAACATATGAACTGTCAGGGAGTTTGGCACAGCTCTTTCCCACACCCCTGAACAAGTCGGCCTTTCTTGATTATCGCGCTTCCTCCAGCATTGGGTGTGGTTGCTGAGCCAAACCGGTCTCGGCTGAGCCACTTGCAGGCACAATCCCCTCCTTCGAATAACATAGTCTAGAAGTAGCTTGACTCAACTCACATGCTAAGCTCGTGGTATGCCAAATCATCAGCTCAGATGGTTGAAATCCTAGATTCAGGCACTGGGCACATTCCGGATAGAACCCCCCTACATGCAGTAGCCTCGGGCTACACTCCGATCGAAAGCTTACAGACACAAACAGGGCGAAGTGTTTGGCACTGGTATGATCTATTTCGTTTTTGCACTCCTCCTTCCGTGCTTGATTCCCCCCACCAAAATCAAACTGTGCATGACATCGCCCCAGATGGGTTTCGTCGCCATTTCGTTGGGGCGAGCCCACCGCTCCACCCCTCCTCTCCGCATCCAAAACGGGTCCTCTCCGATCCTCCGAGATCGGCCGAGAACGGAGGTTTGACCTTGCTGTTGCTGACGCCGCAGCTCGAAATGGTGCGGGCCCGACACCTTGCGTGGAATCGGGTACCGGGTAGCAGGTCGCAGTCCTTGGGATCCAAGGCGGTGGTAGAAGAGCTGTTTGGAGTGTGGTGCAAAGCTCGAAGGGTCTTGTTTTTTGGGGGGTGTGAGAGGCTCAAGAGACGAAGGTTTGCATCGTTTCTATCATTCAAAGGCAAGCCTGGCAGGATGCCACGGAGGCTGGGTTCTGTTCTCTCGAAGAAACACGGGTCGGAGAGGCCGCAGGAAGATGTGGCCGCATTTCTGGAACGGAGCTCTTGTGGCAGTGGGTGGACATAGTCTTCTTGCTTCAACAAACTGAACTGACAGACTTCTTGCTTCAAAGGACCAGCCAAAGTGGTGTCGGGTTTCAGCCATGCTGGCGAGCCTGAGAGATGCCAGCGTTGGCGGAGAAGCTTCCGGCAGCCGCAGGGGCAGACAAGCCTTGTGGCTTGGCGAGGGCCCGTGGTTGTTCAGAATGGAAGGGCCCCACTCCACAACCAAACCCAATGAGGTCTCTGTGAAGATCCCAGGTGGAATGTCAGGCCCACGGCCGTTGGCTCAAGAAGCATTGAGTTCGCCAAATCTAGTTGCTTTCGCTGATGAAGCTGCGAGCGTGGGTGCTGTTTCTGGCGAGCATCTCCTTTCGGAACGCCCTCGGAGTGCGACAACGAACGCCCAAGGTTGGGTCGAACCCACCGACAGGGTCGTTTCTAGGAGTCTGGGATAGTTGGGAGTCTAGGTAGTACCATCTAAGATTGCTTTTTGACAAGAGAGACACTCGGTTCCTAAATGATGACCATCCTGAAGATCCGAGGGGTAGAGACATCGGAGAGTCGTGCATGAGACATAGGTGGATGGAAACACAAGGAGTGACTGAGTGGCTGTGACGCATTTGGGACACATCGGGGCGGGTCAGATTCCATATCTCGCCATACCCTTGTACGACATCAGTCAAAGCAGAGGTCCTTCCTCTCTGTGTCATCCATCATACCATACCCCACAAGATGACAAGGGCTGGTAGAGTGGCGTGCGTGTTCGCTCATGCAGGTCAGTGTGTAAAATTGAAGCCGTTTAAGAACCAGGCAAAGTGTGTATGTTAAGACTTTGTCCAGGGTTGAGAGGATCTGTTGAAACTGGTGACCACTTCGGACAGGCAAAGATTGCATGTGTGGGGGACAGCCTGACGGCTGGCTATCCCTTCGATTCGGGACGGGGACCGGATGCCTCGGTCTCTGGATATCCCTACCACTTGCAAGAGCTGCTGGCAGATGAAGGTTATGAGGTGCGCAACTTCGGCAAGGGCGAGACGACGGTGGTGAGCGGCAGCAAGAGCTATCGGAGCGGCTGGTACAACGAGACCTGGCAGGTCCAGTCGGACGTTCCAATGACCATTGAAGACCTCATTGAGTAGTGTTTTTTGTATGATCAACTCCAGCAAAAAGAGGTCCACGTGACCTGTAGGGTGTTCTCCCCATCTCAGGGTTGGCCAGCAAATTCCAGCTTTCCAACAGGTCTGGGGTCTCCCAAACCCCGGCGGTTTTTGCTTCAGTCTGGCAGGAGGCGCTCCGCTGGAAGCCCGATCGAGTCTTGCTGATGTTCGGCGCCAATGATGTGAAAGAGAGTCGCCTCAAAAAGTTTGAGAACGAGTTCGAGGTCCGACCCTTTGGGGGCTCCGAAAGGCTCCAGTTCGTGACGAATGGCATGAGTAGTGGCAGTCGTGGATGAGAGAGAAAGAACGGAAGAGTGAGGATTTTCGGGTGACACCTGGTTTCGACACTCCCTGAAATCATCCTGGAACTGGAGAAAAACCACCTGTTGGGCATTCGGAAGACTCATGACTCAATCCGAACACGGGAGCCATGCGTTCTCCACGGCCCATGAGGATTTCAGGGAGTGTAAGGTTCTCTGGTTCCAAGCCACTTGCTCACTGGGGCTGGAGCCACTTGCTACGTATGTCAACACCATCACCGGTTTCCCCAACTTTTTGTACGTAGATCTCAGAAGAAAGGCCAGCTGCCCGTTCGAATGGGCTCTGGCAAAAATCAGTTTGCTTCAAGTCCGCCACTTGTGATGGTTCACTGTGACCGATGACGGTGGCTGTCTCAGGGCCGTAATGCAGAGTTTTTTTATTATATCAACCCCGGCATTTGGATTGTAAAATGTCTTCACATGGGTGACTGGGGGTTGAACATTAATCGAGAGTCTATGTACAGTAGGGCGTTAAGGGTCGTTTGTTCGTCGCTTTCTATTCAGCTTTGGTGATCACTTCCCTAAACCAAGAAGAAGTCACTGGACTGGCTGACACAAACCTGGGTTCAAGCGCACAAACCCGGGTTCAAGCGGGTTCAAAGTTCAACGGAGCATTTCTACAAGCTGTGGTCATTTCTGACTGTAGACATGTTTCCCCTTTCCCTACCAGTCTTTCGACTCTCCTCGTTTCCAGGACGCTTTTACCCAGCTGATCCAGTCTTTCTTGGATCTGGATCCACCACCGGTCTTGGCGCTTCTCATTCCCCCACCCATGTACGACAACAACATCTATGGACCCGAATTCGACCCGCCGGGCCGCGCGGGTGGCATGCAGCAGAAGGTCTACAACCAGTGACTTGGGGAGGATGCCCAACTGGGGCATTTTTTTGCATCTCTTTTTCCCCAAGACGCAGCTCCAAAGAGACCACGATGTTCCAACATGTTTCACACATTTTTTGGTGAACGATGGCCATTTCTTTGGTTGTTCCATTTCATATGGTGGCCTTGTCCTGCAAGTCGCCGGAAAACGACTACTGCATTGATGGGTCAAGTGCTGAGGCAACTTCCTTTGAAGCTGCAAGAACTGGCGGAGCGGATGCAGGTTTCCTTGATTGATCTCCATGAGTGCTTCTTGAAGCATGAGTCCTGCACTGATGCCCGGTGAGCCTTTAGCAGTTTTGTTCGGGGAAATTCCCTCCAAGTGGGAGAAAGACTTTCGGACTCTAACCTTGTGAGTACGACTTCTCTTGAAAAGTCAAGAATCATTGAAACAAAAGCATCTCTTTTTGTGGAGCTTTTCTTTTTTCCCAAGCAGTTTTAGTGTTGGGGTTCTCTCCGAGGAGAAAAGAAGCTGGCCGCAGTCTCTCGCAGCGCAGGTTTGTCCTCCCGTTGTCCTCTTCTTGTCCTCCTGCTGTCCTCGTGTTCTCCTTCTCCAGCTTGGCCGCCGGTGAACTTTTCTTCTTCTTCTTTTTCTTCTTCTTGTCCTCTTCTTGTCCACCTGTTGTCCTCTTCTTGTCCTTCTTCCAACTTGGCGCGGCTGCTAGTCCCTCTCCAGTCCTTGTCCTATTTTTTGTATTCTTTTTGTCCTTCTTGTCCTCTTCTTCTCCTCCTTTGACACCAGCTTGGCCACGGCTGCCAGCCATCCACAAGTCCCCGAAGTTCCATGATGTCACCCGATGATCCGGCGTCTAGTGCTCGCCTGCCAGTGCTCGTTGGTGCAGGGGCAGGGGCAGCCTGGGGCACGGGGTAGCTGTCATGTTTGGATGGATTTGGGTGCTTTCTTCTTCAGCTCGGCCGCGCCGAACTGCTGAGGACGTCGCTGTGAACTGCTGCGACTGGGAGGCGCCCAAGCCGCCGAAGCGGCGCGCTCGGCCCCACGCAGCGGTCCAGCAGTGTGCGGCGCACGATGATGCGATCCACCCCAACGATGAAGGCTATCGGAACATCGCGTTGATGGTACAGAGGGCGATGGATGGAAAAGACGTTTGCTGAAGCTTCGTGGGCTTCGCCTCCAGCCCCGGGAGCAGTGGAGGCGCGGCCACGCCGCTGTGATGCACCTCCTTCGGGATGTGCACGTGGAAGATCCTCCAAAACAGCCCCCCAGGCTGGCTGTGAGCTGGCGACGTGCGAGCTGGGCGTAAAAAGCTGGCTGGAAGAGATCTCGAACAATTTCTTCCTGTCCACTGCATGACTCTACACAAGCGGGCCTAAGAAACCATGTCTGGGTTATGACCATTGTGTTGAATATGAAAGACGGGTCGCGTCAACCAGTGACATGACCCAAGGCATTGCAGGAATTCATGTCCTTGATCCTTCGAAGTCTCTGTGCACCTCGGATCCTTCGCGCCGACTTGGCCCAGGTCTCCGACTTTGCCATGCACTCCGGCCTGGGCCTCCTCATCGGCGTGCCGCTCGCGGCCCGGTTCCCCGGCCCCTGTCGTCGTTTTTCCGCGAGGAGCGGGGAGCGGCGACGACGGCGCCGGAGTCGGCCGGAGGCGATGCTGGTGCCTCCGGCGATTGAAGCGGGTGACGTGATGGTGCTCCTGACATGTCGGACTACCAGGAGGGAGGTCAGGGTGCTCCGGGATGGATGGTAGGAACAGCTTTTGAGCATTTGTTCCCGGTTCCTTCTCCAGAGGAAGTTAAACTAGTGGACCTCTGGTCGTTCAACTACTGTGAAGATATATGAAGCGCTGCTTCCTTTTCAGTAGTTCAAGCCTTATAACTTATAACCTATAATTTATCTCCTGAATTGGTCAGAATTGGTCAGGATAGGTCCAAAAACTGAACCATCTACTGAACATTTTCCCATTGTGCCGGCGCTGCGGGTTCCAAATCTGCGCCGCACCGATACACCGATACATGGATATCCCCCACCAATAGTTTGTCTAATGACTAGTGCTCTAGCCTTATGGGACAGTCTTTTCCCTTTGTGTGGGCGAAGAGGTTGCCACGCAAACCCCCCGAAAAAGAAGAGACGCAGGGCAATTAGGGATTGCCTGAGTGCCAGCCTGATTACAGGAGAGTCTCTCGCAAGCGGCCCGCGCTTGCCCAATCCACTGCGCCTGCAACCTACAGACCGCCTGCTCAAGCCAGACAAAGTAGTTCAGTCAGCCAGCAGGGCTCAACGATTGCCTGCAGGTCTGACTGCGGCCGCGCTGATGCGCACGCGTCTCTTTAGCAAGCCTATATTATCGCTCCGAGCTGGCTCTTTGTGACCTGCGGCACTGCTTTTTGCCACGTGTGCAGGGATGCCGGTGTTCATCGTGAGTGTATTCTCCAGATACAACGTGCCTTCTGCAGATATTGTCGGACTCCGGCAGACTTGTGGAATCCTCGCAAGCAATCCAAAATGAGTTCTTGTTTGTGTTTCTTCGCCTGTACTGCACGTTTTCTTAGTTGGCTTTGCTGTTCTGTTCTGCTCTGCGAAGCATCAGAAGCGAGGCTTTGCTCAGAATGCAGATGTTGCAGCTGTGGACGCACGGGCCGCGCAGGTTTGCAGATGGATCGCTCAACATGTGGCGCAGCCAGGGCTAGTCGAGCGAGCCCCAGCAGTCAATGCCCTCGCAACAGCACCGATAGTGCCAAAGCCATTTTTTGGGCTGAGCGGTGAGGAAAATCTTGATGTAGCCTAACAAGATATCCAGGTAGCCTGAGTTCTATAGAAGACTCCAAGAGTACCTGCATCAACAGCAGGATTTGGGTGAGCCGCATGTTGTCAAACCTCGACACACAGCTGACCGTCGTAGCAGCGTTTGTGTCTTGGACTTGCCCCTCCCGCATGCCTTGCGTTGGCAGCCGCGCAGCGCTGTGACACGTGTAGATTGTCTAGAAGCGGGCTGGGGGCTTTTGCGGTGACAGATGATGACATTGGTCGCCAAGCCAACCGTTTTACGACGCAACCCAAAGGATCAAGGGGTCAAAGAAAAACCAGTCATGTCTTTTTCGTGAGATCGTTGCTCCTGCGTGCACTGCAGAACTTCAACGGGTCACTTTCAGCTCGCCAAGTGCGGCGGGCTCTCACGCAAGTGTGCAGTGCAAATCTCTTGGCGTGCCAATTTCAGGGCCCTGTATGTCCCTCTTCCATGCTTTGCCATCATCACTCCCAACCTTGAGGGGAGCCAAAAGGAGCCGGCTGCGCGTTTGAGGGAGTATATTGTCTGGCCTTGTGGCTTGCACTTGCGCCCAAAGGCGCCCTTGGCTATAGATGCAACAGGGTTCTTGCACACGCGTCCAGACAACCCTGCTGGTTGTCTGGCCTTGAAATTTTGTTTGCGGTTGATGTTCGTATGCTTTACCGGTTTGTAAGTTTGACCGCTATGCCTTTTTTTCTAGATTCTAAGTTCTTGGATAACGCGTGGTGCCTGCCAAGCTGCAGGGGTTGTATGATTGGTTGCTCAATGCAAGAGTTGTAAATAGCAGTATATTGAATACCCAAGCAAATGATAAAACAAATAACTTGAAAAACAGGTTCTGATTAACAAAATCAAATAGAACAAAGCAGGTTTTTTAGAAACCAATGATATTTCAAACTAACAAGAAATAACTAAACGATTAGCAAATGATTAACAAAATTTCCATTCACACTGGATCTAACAAACAATCGGATAAGGCGATAATGAAATAGAATATTAGTAAGTGACATGCCTAATGAAAATATAGAAAAATATAGAAGCAAATAGAAAATGATTAACAAATCTTCCATTCACATGGGATCTGATCAAAAATTTGGATAAGACGACAATGAATTAAAATATCAATAGATGCCATACCTAATTGTACTACAGGAAAACAATTAAATCAATAGCAAATAGTTATCAAATTCCCCAAAAGCAGCGGCAAAGGCAAAGCCAGTGTGAGCTGGAGGTGAGCGGCTTGTTTTTCCAGCGAGAGACCCGCTGACGCCTTGGATTTTTTGCGTCGCATTTCTTGCAATGTCCCACAGCGCATACCCACATGTACATCCTAACGTAGTGCGCAAAATGCACTTCGGCAATGTCATGCAACGCATATCCAATGCAAATGTAGGCGGGACAGTCACATGCCATGCAACTCATATCCAAACTTCTGCGGGACATTTAATATGCATTCTACATGTGGTTGTAATGCTTTTAAGGGAGTCGTACCCTACTTGTTCCTCACTTTGACCCACAAACAACACACGCACACACAACTGGCTTATACAAGCTACATACCTCGGATAAGTCAATGACAATTTAATTAGTTAATAATTAGTAAATAACAATTAATGAATTAATGAATTAATCAATTAAGTAGTTAATTGATTAACTAATTAATAACTAATTAAGTGGCATGCCTTACAGGTGCCTTCACATGACATTATATATGGTATACCTTGCGTGACACACCGTGCAACCACGCAATGTTCATAACAAAATGCAACGCGTTGAAGTTTCGTTGCGGACTTGGCTCGTTTCTCTTTTTGTGGTCTTTCGCTTGCCTTTTCTTGCCTCGGGGTTCAAAAGGTTCCCACAGCCACGCTGTTAAAGCATATGTTGTGCGGAGGCCCAGTCTCTGCAGAGGAACGTCAAATAGAAGCGAAGCATGTGTACTATATAGGCAAGACGGCAAGACATCAACGTACAAATACAATCAACACCCCCCCCGAGGGGTTTCTTACTAGAGTATATAGCTTGGCCACCAAATTGTTTCATATTCATGCCTCCGAACCCTAGTGCCAAAGTATCGGGACTTGTTGACAGATTCTCAACGGTGAGGTGTACTGATGTCTGTAAAGCACCGCTTTAAGTCGTGAAAATGGTGGTGGCCAACTCAGTCAGAAACCAAAACCAGTCAAAGGAAATTCGGACAGTACAAATCGAAAGACCAAAAAAGAAACCACCTCGGACATACATCCTAAAGTCATCAATAAAGCACAGCCAACCAGAAAAAACGTAGGAAAGCTATGATTTGAAGTGAGTGGCTGGCTGCGACGGAACCTGGTAACCTTCGAGCATGTTGCATGGCTGTGCAGAAAAGCTGCCCAAGGAACTTGTCCAAAGGACAATGTTTTGTGCAAAAAGCATTAGACGGTTTCATTTGCATCAACGATGCCGTTTAAGAGATTTGAGCGCATAAAGATACCAGGCTGCAAAAGACATTCTGCATGAACTGAAGGAAGTCTGGGAAGTGGGTGTTGAAGGAAAATCGTCTTCCCGATTAGCATTGTCCTTGGAAACGCATGAAAAACACCATAGAGTCCGGGACAGCGGAGATATGCAGCGGGTTATGCCAGGTTAGATCGATCTACAGAACTGTGTCATCGTGTCACCTTCATCACCACCATCACATCTTTGGACCTCAATGCGCCTAGATTTCTAGACTTTCTTCTGCTACACCTAGACCTCACACGCACACTGTTTGGATAATAGCGCAATGATTTTAAAAAAACAAGCTTTGGTTTCAACTCATTTTCAGCAATTCTTTTCAGCGCTTCACATCATGTCCTCGGAGATTTATCCTTCAAAACATCCAGTTTTGGTCTTCTGCTTCCAGAACTGGCGTTAGGTGCCATGGCCGGAAGACATGGAGCGAAATGTTTTGATATGAGTGGATCAAAACTGGCCGAACATGGTATCTTCATATTGGTACGCCTGCGCGCATTTCAGTGTTGCCAAGACTTGAAGGTCTCCTCCCCGCTGTTCAAGTTACCTCTGATTCAGGCGGCCCTTCAGGCCTCCAACGCGTCATTGTTGAGCTCCGATGTCGCTGCGCGACCTTGCTCGGACCCCTCCTCCAATCCAGACGAAAGCCACGAAGGGCCGAGTTGTACATTTCTTTGTGAGCCAGAACAAATACACGGGCCAGAAATTCGTTCTTTCTGCGAGCAACGAGGAAGGAGATGGTGATGACATTCGTGTTTTGGTGAGGAGCACTGCAATCGTATCATCTGTCAGTCTCAATGCTATGGCGCTCCTTGGAATCGGAAGCGAAACGGACAAATCCCCGAACAGGCCGTGGTCGGGAAGGTGGCCGACGTGGAGTTGGCTCTGAATTTCGCAAGCGGGAAAAGGAAGAGATCAGGTGTTGAGTATTTTGGAAGCAAAAGCAGTTTCCAAAGATTTTCAAAGGTTTTTCAAATCCGAACAGTCGTGACTGTGAAGTAGTGTGTTGTGTATGTGTAGCCATTGCCGAGGTCCACATTGCAGGTCTTGCCGGATGAGGGCCACGAAGCGTTTCCCAAGGCCTCCTTTCCAAAGTACAGCGTTGTCT